TATTAAGTTGTGAGTTGGTCCGTTAGCTCAGTCGGCAGAGCATGGTGCTAATAACGCTAAGGTCATGGGTTCGAGCCCCACACGGACCACATACATTTTTCATTTTTGTATAAACTTCATGTGTTTCTTATAGTAATAAGGAATTTGCGCGCCTATTACTTTACGATTTTCAGATCGGATGTCGTATGTACAATCTTCCAAAAAATGAAGCATTGTCCACTGAAACTTTCAACTTTAAATATTATGGATCTCTTTGCAAATAAAAGCAAATGACCGACGTTAGGGCTATAGTTATTAGAACATCAGTTGGTCCCTTAAGCTCAGTCGGCAGGGCGTGGTGATAATAACGCTAACCAAGGTTATGGATTTGAGCCCCATATGGACCATATCATTTTGGATAAAATATTTCTCGTTATAATACCAGCACCAAACATTGCTATTGGTAGACGAAGTTTAATTTGTGCAAATTGTACGAGAAAAAAATCGCTTAAACTTAGAACGCATTATTCTCGCATCAAAAGCTACCATTTGTGGCAATCTTTTCAGATTATTTTTTGGGGGGCTTTATCAAAAGAAAAAAAAAAAAAAAAAAAATTATCTGGAGCATCAAAGGAAATAAGTGGTCCTACGGATACCAAATTAAATCAGTTGGTCAGTTAGCTGCAATTCGACGCAATGAGTTAATTAAGTTAATGAAAATCAATAAAGGAAGACATCAAAATCAATAAATAGGCAGTTTGCATGATGGCGTCATTTTACTACCACTATCAAAATGATTTGCAAATTATTTTCTTTTTTATTCAAATTTTTCTCATGTCAATAGTAAGACAATTAGTGCCAATAAAGTGAACAATTAAGACAATTAGTGCCAATAAAGTGAGCAATTAAGACAATTAGTGCTAATAAACTGAACAAAAGATATTGTGTAAAGCAGTCTGGTACTGGTAGTAAATGACGCTATAATGAAAGTGACCTATTTAGTTCATTAAACTGCTCAAACCTTAATATCCGTGACGCATTCGTGCAAGGATTTTCTCTTCGTAAAGTTGATGTATTTACTACACGTCTTTGCTATGCCTCGAAGTATCTTCTTACAATGGTTAACTGCCTTTGCTTTGGTGATTCCAGTTTTTGTTGGCCATGTCGGGGTAACATAATTAACCTTTGGTGGTTTGTAGACATAGTTAATAGAATCTGGATCGTAGTCTTTATTATCTCTGTTTCCTGGTTTCTTTGGGTGTGGTGGTACGACAATTGGCGTTACAGTCTGTCCTCCCTTTTCAAGTTCAGGAGCGGGGCGAATGTCACAGGAATTGATTCTTTTTCCATTGTGCCTGACACAAGTGCATGCTGGTACTGGACCGGTAATCTTTGGAATACGAGGTGGAAGACTTTCGAACAAAGTGGTTCCTGGTTTTAGCCTGTTATTAAAATATAATATCTACATTAACAACAACAACAACAACATCTTATTTGGTGTATCAGTTGATGAGAGCACAGTCATTTCGAAATAGCTTTAGAAAATAGTCGAGCTAAATGTCTGGGCCATGCGGAGTAAATTACAAGAAAAAGTAATCAGTTCAGTATTTTCATGGACAGGTACAAGTCAGATACAGACGAACCAGACACATGTACAGACATACAGTACAAACACTGAGCACAAAATGAAATGGGTGGAAGCTGAATTTTCAAAATTAATAGTATTCTGTAATATTTTGTGTTCTCATCATCTGCATGGAGACAGAGTAAAATCATTAAGAATATTTGGAAAGAATAGAAGATTTAAGGTGATGYTTAAATGAAGTACGACTTTTAGATTTAAGATCCGCTTCGATGGAATTCCGAATTTTTTAAAGCGTAGTTTTATAGCTTTAAGTCACCATAAGCATATTAAGGATCTTAAACGATTACGAAGCGGGAAACGGGAAAAGGAAACATCATCCGTGTCTGAACAACAAAAGCATGGATGCGTAACAATAACATTGTTGGTAAGCACCACCCTTATACAACAAGGACAATTTAGTCGAAAACGAACAACAAAAGGGATATTTCGTAGCAATGACGACAATACATCGATCATCRATCCCGCAATTCATTGTTCTACTTCCCTAGTTACTGTTGCTACGTCGAACAAGCTAAAGTGTGTTTTTGATAAACAGCAATGAACAGACATCAATTGCTGAAAATTGTAAATATCTGTCTTAGAAGTCAATGCATCCTAAAGGTTTGTTAAGAAAAATATCAATAATTACATAATTAAAGGTGTGTTAAAAAAATATCGACAATTACTGAAAATATATTTTGAAGTCGAGTTTGTTGGTCGGACATTCTGTATTCCGTTGAGAAATTAAATTACCCATTGTTTGTGTGCATTTTCAGGCATAGCCGGGATCACTCTATCAAGAGTCAATTATGGAACAAAATAAAGCTATTCACAGTATCTTTTGAAGAGACTAGACTTACTTGTATCTATTGGCAAATGCATAAACACTCTTGCCTTGAAGGTCATCCCTCGGATTTCCATTATTGTTTCCACAAAGACCAACAACTGACTTGTAATCCTCTCCAGGTACTGAGATGTAGACATTCATGTAACCAGTGTTTGTTTGGATGTTCAATGAAACCCCAGATTTTAATGTAACCTAGACAAATTCACGATTCATTAGTATTTTTTAGCTAAAAAAATAGGAATCGAGGGTTGGTGTGTGACGGAAAGAGAGAGGACATTTTTTCTTTACCGAAAAACAGCTGTCAGAAGGGTAGCTGTGTTTGGGGTGTGACGGACAGACGGATGTAAATCTTTCCTTGRGCGACAACTAAGCTGTCAGAATGCCTTACTGATTCATGGTTTGGGATTTGATCAAAGAAAGGGGGAGAATCAAATCGTTTGAGATATTTAAAAGCACTCGAAATATAGGAGTGAGGCAACACGGGATAATTCAGCTCACAGTCCGATTATAGAACCCATGATCACGGCTCTTAAAGGCGGCACATTGACAAGCACACCTTAAAGCGTAATTTAACAACAGATTTGTCACCAGTCTCTTTTGTTATAACAATCAACATGGCCGCGGTCTTTTTATTATTATTATTATTATTTTTGGGAATGTTTGAAAACAAGACAAATCCTGAAAAATTTTGTGAGGAAATTTGAAGGATAAAGTTAATAAAGTAGCTATGGCTATAAGAAATACACACCTTATATCTCGTGCGCTGCCCACCACCAAAGCTTTTTATCTTAATTCGATTACCAAGAGGTTTCTTTGATTTCTGTACGACTCGAGGAACTGTTCTTCTCCATTGTCCGTTACACATATCAATTGTCACAACGTCATCATTCTCACGTATAGCCACACCACAGTTACAGACAACTCTCCAGCAAGGCCAGATACGAGTTTGAACCTGTTACATAACAAGCAATTATTAGAGAAGAGCTAAGTCGAGTTTGTCAGCATTGGTATTGTACATCTTTCTAAGTCGCTCACCTCGAAATGTCTTTTCGTGCTCTTGACAAAGGTGTAAGTACCAGGATTCCTAAGAATGTCGTAATATCTGCACGAATACAACAAAAGATTAGATTAACGTGTTGTTTAATAAACTATTAACAGATATTAACTATTAGTCGAATCTAACTAGTGGTCTATCAGCAATGCTGCGTTCTAATTGGATGAGCTACTACTATAAGTTATTTTATTTATTTWTTATTTATTTATTTATTTAGCTTCGCCATTCAAACACTCACATCACACATGAACCCACTCACACACACACACACGAGAATAATTACATACATACATACATAATGGCTGGGAAACCACTACAGCGTGTGCCAATTACAGTGGACCCTCACATATTAACATTAATTTTTAAAAATGTTCGTTTGAAACAGTTATTTTCCCCCTTTTTTATTTTTTTCTTGATGATCCTTGATTATCCTTGATGATCCTTATTATTGACAGAAAGGTTAATAGCAGCATGATGGGGCGCTCTGCAATCCTCGGGCAGTGTTACATTTTATACAGATGGTTTTCCATGTCCGAGGATCTTCCTGGTCATAGACGAGGTGCAGAGCGCTACGATAGTAGTCTACAAGTCTATCCTACTAGTTGTAAAACGTGCCTGCTCTACACCAAAACATTAAATTTCACTTTAGGTCAAAAGTCATATGCATCTATATATTTGACCGACGAGTTGGATTTGATCTCGCCCTCATGGTCTATGAGTTAATAGCCCATTCGCCTTTCGGCCTCATGGGATACTGACTAAGGACTAATTGCTAAATTGACAAAGTAGCTAATTTATGTACTTCTTTCTTTAAAACACCTCGTTTTAAGAAGTCTTTTATAATCCAAAATGCCCAGAGATTCGACATGTAATAATTCTATTTATACTATATTTCTATTCATAGTCATTACACTTTCTTGTCGTTTCTTTTCTATCATTGTATTAAACGATTTATCTACAGCAAAAAAATCGTATTTAAGCTACAAAAACAAAGTTATTGTTTAGGATTAGTTCACATACAGACGTAGAGCATGCGCATACTGTTTTCAAAAATACTAAGTCCTTAGATTTTATTGATTAGGTTTCCAGCACTTTAACAATCAGTTACTTTATGAAATATGTTTGAAATGAGGATTTCATTCGGTAGAATGAGGAATGTGATGGTAACTAGATCTTTACAATTACTTACTTTCCATCAAAGGTTCTGTAGTGAGGATCGCCAGTTGCCTGACACTTTCTGTAGCCACCTTGGCGACCGGGAGGTATGTACATTATCTGCACAAAATATCACCTCATTAGAAAATGTTTTTTGTTATTTACCATAAATTAGAAAAGAAGCGAAAGGAAGGAAGGAAGGAAAAAAGAAAGAACCAAAGAAAGTAGGAAAGAAGGAATAAAACGAAAAAAACCCAAACAAATAAAGACGAAAATGAAATAAAATGACAAAGAAAAATGATGAGACGATGAGGAAAAAACGGGGGAAATAAAGAAAAGGAAAAGATTTTAAAATGGACGGGAAGGAAGGAAGGTGGGAAGGTGAGTAATTTCGACCTTCTGCCTCTTGCAGCAACGCTTGCGTTCTCTAGACTAGTTATTCGTGTAGCTTTGCAGCCTACTCATAGCAATACTCTACCGCTACAATTTGTAGCAAAAGCTTAAGTACCTTTACAGCTGGCAATTTGTAGCCAACCCAGAATCTACTTCCACCTGGTCGTGATTTGATACCATCAAACTTAAGCAGCATAGTCTTTTTCCCAGATTGCACAAATGTCTTGACAGCCTTAACGTTCAAGGTAAATTTCCTGCGTGAACGCTCTGATATTCTTACGACACATTTGTCAGTGATATATTGATCATGGCTGCGGATGTTTGCCGTGATAGAACATCCCAGCGAGCGACCGTAGCACGTGATCGGAACGAAGCCTGTGATGCGCACGGGTTTCCATGGTGTTTTCTCTGAGATGATGATTTTCTTTGGATGTACCTGGTGAAAAGTTTTAACAAATAAATGACATTATGAAAAGTTGTATAACAATCATTACAAACATGCATCAAGGATTTTCCATTTAAGGATTCTAGGAGGTGGGCACCCAACCTCAGCAAAGCTGCAGTGAGCTATATATTAGTAAGTGGGGTCACATGCACCCCTGTGTAGGGGTAGTGTCACGTGATCTCGACTGTCGCCCACCAAAACTGGGGATAGCCGCAATTGCAATTGATTTGCCTGATGGCGTTATTTTACAGTTCCCACTACCAAAATGCCTTTCGCGAATTTTCTTTCTTATTCTTTATATTTCTTATAAGACCATTGGTGCAAAATATCTAAACAAAAGAAATCTTGCGAAGGATTTTGGTACTTGTAGTTAATGACGTCATAATGCAAATCTCCTATTACTTAGATCATAAGAATTACCTTCAAACCAAAGAAGACCTTGTTGCTGTCATCATAGCTGCTCCATTCTTTCACACCAACGAATCGGCTCTTTACACGACAAGAAACCTATTTGTGAATGAAAGTGCCGTTTAGCGTATGTCATAAGTATTATTCTATATACTAGTAGGGTTTTGGTGCATGTATATCAAGGTGTTTCCATGACACTGTCTGGAAGTCTTTGAATCTCAGTTGTAGTCAAACACTGATCACCATGTGCCGCCAACCAGAAAGAAACATCCTATAAGCAAGTTCGTAGTTTAAGAATCGTTTCCAATGCGCTTGCGATTTTAACTTTCTTTTGTTCTTAATTATTCAAAAGAAGGTGAGAAATTCGCGATAAAATCGCCTGCGCACTGGAAGCGATTCTTAAACTACAATCTGGCTTATTGAGAACGTGTGATTCAGCTGATGGATTTTCCGCAAGAGACATGAAATAACGTCAAGTACAACGTCGCAATTTTGACCCACATGGCGACCACGAAACCAGTTTATTCATGTAGTTATGAGTGGAAGAAAACTCACCTTTGTTCCTGCTCTGAATCCGTAAGTGTTTTCGATAAGGTCCGCATGGTGTCCATTGACACGTACTGTCCTTGTGACGCGGTTGTTGACAACGAACTGAACCATTGACACAACTCGTCTGCGCTTCTGATTCCTTATCCTAAACTGACAGCGCGCTATAACCTTGACTATTCCTTGTTTTTGCCTGGTCGTTGGTGTTAAGGTCGGACGGGATACGCTTGGTGCATCTATGGTACAATAAGAATGTATGAATATGTGCATCATCCATGAATAGAGTATATGTTTGTCTACGAATTAATTAGTTAAGGGTGTTACTCAAACCAATAGCCTTTTCAGCAATATTTTAACTATTTCGTCGTTGATTTTACGATCGAACTGGATACGCGATACGCTGAGTGCGTCTATGGTAAAATAATATATGTAATTTATCACTTTTAACAGGGCATGGTAATTAGATTTTAGATCAAACGAGATACGCTGAGTGCGTCTATAGTTTGCAAATCCACAAATTCGTCAACTTTTTTTATAAGAATCAGTTTAAATCAAAAAGCAAATGGTGGTCATTGATCAGTAGGAAAATATATCCTCTTTCACAACATAAGGGGGGGATTTAAAAATGATTATGTCTTACTTGAATAACAGCCGTAAACCTCAACTCTCATCGATATGTGTCTATGCCATGAACGCGGGTTGAACCTAATATATCGTGCGACAACAGACGGGTTGACTGGGTTATCCACAATGCTATAGTAGTTGGTGTTAGCTTTGAACAACTGAAAAAGTAATTGCGGAAATATTTAATGTATGGAGGGAGAGACAGAGAGATGACATTATTTTGACCTACACACAAAAACGCAAATTTCATAAACATAGTCAAAACAACAGCATCATGTTCTTGCGGTGCATGTTACATCATAGCCAGCATGTTGGTTGATGATAACAAAGCATTCCTCATTAGTTTTTCTTCTTATATATTAAAACAACATGGCGGCTGGGATTTTGATTCATATGGTTGCACTCCAAGAATAACCAGTTTGTCCTTTAAAAAATGCATAGGAAAACTGACAGCTCATTTTGCATAAAAAGATAAGATGCGTCCCGCGCAGGTATCTTGCGTACACATTAATAGTTCCATATAGGATGAATTATCAGTACTTCTTTGGGATCAAATGAATAGATCTACCTCACCTATCCCTTTGTTTTATTGCTTTTATCTGTCTCGGCAACTGCAACTGGTTTACTATTTATTGACCAGTTTCTCTATTTATTTTTATTGATTTCATCTTTCATCCTTTATTTATCTTATTAACGTACCTTAACTCGTTTACCCTCTCGGACGTATTTGAAGGATCTACCGTTGTTGCTGTACTGAAGGTAAAATGATTTGACCCACTGGGAGACTTTATAGCGTCCTTTAGTGGCCACTTTAGTGATCTTTGTTGCGCGACCAAGATCAACTTGCAGCCATTGGTTGTAGTTATTATGACGTGCAATCCATGTGCCCTTATACCTTGATAATAAAGAGCAATATTCATAATTAACGAAAATTATCTTTGTCTTTTTCTTTTTTTACAAATAAATCTTTGTTTGACCTGAGTAGTGTTTACAATCACGGATTTTAGGCTCCACGGTGGAAGAAAAGACCAACAGGTTTTGCAGCCCACTTGAAAAGGCTACCTACACATCAAGTTGCAATTTAGAAATGGGTGTGCAATGGAACAAATTCGTAGCCCTGCTCAGTGTCTTAGTCTTGACCACGTGAATTAATTGGTTGAATCACACGAAAGCAATGGAAAACCATTAAAATCCTACAACATGTCGCATATTGTGCACCTGCTGTAAGTCAATGATGTATATTTGGCACTCTAACGAAAATCATCTTAAGATAAATATATAGGATCATGATAATTTATTAGAAAATGCTTTAATGGGATTAAAATAGGTTGCATTTATTAATGGGATTTGTTTATCAAGTATAGAGAGAAAGTACGTAACTGATAAAAGAAGGTTAAATGTAATAGGAAAAATTCTAATTCTTACACTAATAAAAGCACAACTTACCCTCCTCCGGCTGGTGGAGCTAAACGACCATACTGTGCTGTATATTTTCTACTCCAGCGAGAGGATGCTCTCATGTTACTGTCAGGGATCTGCTTGTTACCAACACCCATTGCTTTGTAGCACACCACTCTCATCTCTAGAATATCAATAGAAAAACGTAAGAACGAACCATGAAAAACACAACCAAATACCCTAACACAACGATAAGCCCGTTTTAGTTGAGCATGATGCTTTTTTCCGACCACTTGTCATTATCATCAGCARGTTCCTTCGTTTATTGGCCTTTCAAAGGTTGCGCGAAAATCGATCATTAGTAGAGGGCGCGCTGAATCATGAGACTTTTAGAGGACGCCATTTTTTCAATATGGTGAAAAGCTTAACAAACTCTCTTGCCAAACAAACCAAAAATTCCAATTAAATGTGACTCGGTTCGATCGATTTGAATACTAAAACCTGTAAAACGAAAAAGACAAGTGGCGTCCCCTAAAACAGCTTCGTGATTCAGCGCGCGTGCTTCTTGTTACACGTTTTCCGCTAAACCGGCCTCGGAAAGGCCAGCAGGTATTATTTTTTATTCCTTTAAAATAAAATAATTGAAYGTGGAATTGAGAATTATTTATTTGATTGAAAATTGTCTAGTTAGTTGTCGAGACTTTTGTCTTTTCATAAAAAGCGGTGACAAAGTTTTGCTAAACTTATTTTTCCCCATCATTTTAAGTGTAACAATGACTAAGTAATCCATCACTTACTTGGGCTGCATCCATACAACTCGAATCTCATGGAGATGTGTGAGTGCCATGACTTGGGGTAGATTCGAACGTAACGTGCTTTCATCCTTGGACTCAAACGGTTGTTAACAACTGTTTGTCTGTCATAATTTGCTGTAAAACGCTGGAATTAAAATAACATCAATTAAAAATTTGGTTTTAGAGACACTAAAACGACATGTCAAATCATAAAGGATATTGAATTATGGCGTGAATGCCGGGATAAACCAGAAGCAGGAATTTGGAGGAAACCCCAATAAATATCACTCTTCAGGAGAGTAAAATAGTTTTCCTTCATTTTTAGAAATAAACATGCGTTTAACTACATTTTTTCAAGTGTATTTGAGACTGAAAATACAGGCTTTGCACCATCACGTGATGGCAGCCATGACAGGAGGCAGGAAGAGTTGAATCTGGTCTAATCTTTACATGAAAAAAATTCAGTTTACTAGAGAGGAAAAGACTCACATGATGGTGCAAAGCCTCTATACTAAATAGATAGTAGTGGTTTGGGGATATTTGAGAAATCTCACCAACTGCTTGGTTTGTGTGTAGTAGAGTCAGTCTCATAATTTCTTACCGCAAGTCCTCAATTCATTATAACCTTTATAATTTGTAAGAAACATATAGAAATAAAAATAAAAATACCCATTTTGTTATACTAACCTTTGTTCTTCCTCTAACAGCATACATCCTGAATCGTCTTCCATCAAAACTTGACCCAAGCTCAAAACTCTTGACCCACTGATTGGCATCATATCGGCCCTGAGTGGCAATTACTGTGATGGTAGTCACCTCCTTCAGTCTTATTTGCAGCCATTGCTTGGCATTGTTATAACGTGAAGACCAGGCACCTGTACCACCTACGTTTCGGTGGTTGAGACGAGCACGTTGAGGACCGTGCTTGGCGTCCCATTTGCTTGAGGACGTCAGGTAGGAATCAGGGATACGTCTGTCTTGTAAACCAACCGGAACACCACACTTTTCTGAAAATTAAAAATTACATATTACGAGTTTTTGAAGTAAAATGGCAAAGGGTGGGATAGCTATTAGTCATATATGTGAGGGTCTCTGGTTTGATTCCTGCAGATACAACAAATGGATAGAGTTTGCTTGATTTGCTCTCATTCTTACCATGACAAATTTTTTCAGGTTCTCTTCCGTTTTCAAGAATCAACATGTGAGTTGGTTGTTGTGAGTATTGAACATAGCAAGAGGTCCATAAAACACTGTCTTAACCTCGGAAACTTGGGCCAATTTTAACACCTTTATGTGCATGACAAATTAGATATAATCTTTGCTAACTTAGGTATCAGTAACACAATACAAGCGATATCTTAATCTCGGAAAATTGGCCCACTTTAAATATCTGTCCACGACAAACTATATACAATTTTTCCTAACTTTGGTCCCAGTAGCACCATATCAGTGTTGTTTGTATCGCTGAACTACGAAGAATCACGTTCGGTATTAAAACAGCTAATAGGTGCTTGGAATTTCCACTAATGAATGACCTCTTACCTAACTTGCACCCATACAGTTCAACTCTCATAGCAATGTAGCTGTGCCATCCCCATGGATAGACACGAACAAAGCGGCCACGGATGGCTGGGATAAGAGAATGGAACCTGATGGTGTTGCTATCGCGATTGGCATAGAATAGCTAGGCAACAAACATAGAGTAAAAAACTGTCAATTCTCATAAACCAAATAACAAACAAAGCAAAGAAAAAAAAATTGAATTATTCAAATTATGTTTTTTATAAGAAAGAACATTTTTTTTTACTTCCTACCTTATCAACGGAGTTGTGCGTATATCTTGTAAAATGCACGCCATCTACACTGCTACTCAGATAGTATCGAGTCACCCATTGTCTTGCATCTTGGCGGCCTTGAGTTGCAATACGAATGATCTTTGACAAGCGACCCGTATCGATCTAAAACCAATAACATGGCTGTTAGCTGCATTCATTCAGAAAAGAATCAACTGTAGTGCGTAGTGAAGTACGTTTCCCGAAAATATGTTTCATAGAGGTGGGGCCAAATGGAAATTGATTTGAAATTAATAGAAAATTGAATCTAATTATTAAAAAAAAAAAAAAAAAAAAAAAAAAAAAAGGAAAAGAAAGAAGAAAATAAAATGAAAATAAAATGCTAACTAAATGGAAGCAAAGCTTTCGCTGACAAAAGGAAACCAGCAATGAATAAATAAATAAGAATAATAAGTAAATAAAATAAAATGAGAATGGCCACACCACTGACCTGTAACCACTCATTGTAAGTTTGTCGCTGTGGTATCCAGGCACCATATTTACGTCCCATTTTCCTCAGGTTCAATCTCGCAAGATATGGAGCTAATCCAGTCATAAGCTGACTAGATGCTGTAATAGCTCCGTTTGGTATACCACCATTCTGCATGCCCAGCTTACGGTTACACAAATGACCTGTATTCAATATAAATAAAAAAATATTAATAATTATTGAAATGTTATCTTTTTTATATATCATAATTTGACCTTATTGTACGTAAGGCAGACCAAAAATCTGGGCGCAGATATAAATGAAAAATTTTGCTACTAAGCTGTTTTGGGGCAGCATGTAATGTCCCAGCCACCATGTTGGATAACCATTTTGTATATCATCCAACATGGCGGCCATTTCGGTCATTAATTCTCTTGAGAGATTTGGCGCCCAAGAACAAACATTAACTTACCAGCGCTGCATCCGTAAAGTTCGACTCTCATGGAGATATAGCCTTGCCAAGATGTTGGTCGGAAACGTACGTATCGAGTGGAGATCGGACGAAGATTTTGGTAGACAATTGTGGATCGGTCATAGTTGGCTTGGAAGACCTTGAATAAAAGATAAATAAATATTTGAGTCACGACCTCTTGATGCATCCCTTCATGGAATTCTCTTTTGTTCTATAGTTTTATAGCTCATCAAGTTCAGTTTATTCTAAGGACATGCTGACGAGACAAACAAGTTTAAAGGGTAAATTTATGCTCAAGGGAAGGAACCAAAATTTGATTTACGATGAGAATTTTTTTCAAAAATTGAATTTTTTTTTCAAAAAGTGAAATCGTCCACAGAGTTAACTCTCAGAATTAACTTTTGACTATGAGAACAATTACTCAAACAAACACTTTCATTCAACTAAATAAAACACTAATRGAAAAATACTATGGATTTGGTCTATAGAGGGTTTGCACTTCACGTGACGGCAGCCACGTTAGATGGTAGGAGCAATACGATCGTTTTACGTAAGAAAGAATTCAATTCTCGAGAGCAAAGGGATTTTATTATCCTGTCATCTAACCACAGCCAACCCAAGCTGTAATATGGGCTGGGCACGTGATGGTGCAAAACATATATTACACTGTACATGCACTCCCTTATATATTTAAACAAGGATTAGCTTGATCGTACCTTCACGCGACTTCCTTCCTTGTAGTTCCTCAGATAGTCGATCGTAGAACCATATTGCAGGGTAAACGCTCTGACCCAGTAGTTAGATCGGTAATTTCCTTGAGTTGCTAGTTTAATGATTCTTGCCCTGTTGCCAACATCAACTTGAAGCCATTGTTTCCTTTAGACAAACAAACGAACAAATAAACATTAAAAAATATTTAGGATTTCCTTATTTCATTTCCACAAACCCTTTTAGATATTATTATACGTAAAGGTGAATTTTAGTGCTGAAGAAAACCAAAGTCATATATAAATTCAAACGTTGAGTTTTCTTACTGCTATTTCGTAAAGAATGCAGGTTTTGTTGCATGTGAAATGTTGCATTTATCAAGCCCAAAATGCATTATTGGCATTGGTAAGGCGATCAGCGAAAGGTCACAACAATATTTAAATTTTTACCAAACTTTGTGTTAACCTTTTTTTTTTTTGCTTATTATCTTCTGTGCTGAGATCTTTTACACGTGAATGTAATATATTTAAAGCTTGGCATTCAAGATGCAAGATGCAAGATGCAAGATGCAAGATGCAACAGTTAACATGCAACATGCAACATACAACATGCAACCAAATTTTAAATAACCTGTTTTAATATAGATATTAAACTTATTTCAAAAGAGGTTGTCGGAGAGAATAACGAACGTCGTACGGCGCTTGCACGACCGATAGGAACTGTGGGTCTCTAACATCTTTATAAACCTCTTGGGTGGCAGAAACAAATGTTCACATTTGGTTCATCCTAATAATAAAACATTATTATTATTGGATTAGGTCCAATACATACGTATTGCGGTGCTTAGCGATCCAGGTGTAACTGCGCATGTTCAGACGAGCCTTGTGAGATGAGTACGTGTAACTGAGCCTCGAAGAAGCAGAGAAGGAGACGTCAGGGAGACGATAGTCTTCTGCACCAAGAGCCACGTCGCATCGAACTGTTGTAAAAAACATAGTAGAGATTCATCAACTTGATCGATAGCAGGATTATGTGCAACTTTAAATGTAAAATGTCTGTTATTGAAATATAATCCTAGTAATGCTATATGCATTTATCAAAGAAGTTCTGGAAAAGTGAATCTTGATGTTATAGGTGTTAGGTGTTATTAGATGTTATAGGTGATAGACTCGCGCGATGTTAATGGCTACCACTAATTTTTATCTTAGTGCCATTTTTTTGAAGATGTTATCCCAATGTTTAGATTACATATAATATGCTACTACATTTATAACGTAAAATCCCCGTTATAAGCTCTGGGCTTATACTAATTCGATGGGGTTTTATGATCCAAGGGTTTATATTAGGGGGAGGGGTGGGGGGGTTGGTAGTATGTATTAGAGTAGGATGAGCTGAGAAAGTTATTTCTCCCTTTTGTCATCCCAGTAAATCTTTTATTTGCATCAAGGTAGGTATACCAGTAGCAGAATATCGTATAATAAGGTTTCTTACCGGCTCTGCAGCCATGTATTTCCAGCCTCATGGAGTCTCTTCTGTAGCTTCTGTAGGCGTACACCCTGATGAAGCGGGTAACGATGGCGGGACGGAACGAACGAGTTTCAATTGTTCCTTTTGAATCGTGATTACCAGTAAAGTACTGAAAACAGAATGGAAAAATTAGTACAGAAAGCTCAATGCAAAATGAACCCTTTTAAAAATAAAGACACATACAAAGGAGAAAGATGAAATATTCTTCTTTCTAGATCCTGCCGCTTCAATTGATGCAAAATATTTAGTCACAGATAGAGTAAACCATTCATTTGCAGGAGAAATATATAGCGCCTTTGCGTGTTCATTATTAATTTTCCGTTTTTTTCGAGAGCATGAATAGCCGGAGCGTTTTCACTCACGTGAGAAGGCAGTCATATAGGTGTAACCAAACATAGAAAATTCCTGCACAGTTTTTGCTTAAAAATAGATTTCAATTCCCAGAAAATAGGGAATGTATTGTTTGGGTGCACCAACATACGCTGTGACGTCAAGTAAAAACGCTCTATTGCAAGTATTTTGTTTAACCGTGGTAACACAGGGAAACCAATACTCAACGTCTATCCCTGAAATAATTCTTAAACTTCATTTCTTCATGTGTCATTTCTCCTGGCATAACCCATACCTACACTTGTCTTATTACATACATATATGTGTAAACACAGAGGTATTTATAGTGGTAGAGTGCAGGACTACAACGCAAATGAGTTAATTAAGAAGGATCATGCACACATGCAGTACTCAAATAAAATATTGTAAAACAATTTTCCAAGTTTGATGATCAGTAAGCTTAATATTGAACATTAGTATAATTTTAGACTTGAATATAGAATTTCTCGAGCTGTGATTGGTCGAGCGACCGGTGATTCTGAGGCGATAATCACCGCTGAAGCGGTGATCATGAGGCTAGCCAAAGTTTTYGAGATCGGAAGTAATACTAAAACGTTTTTTTTTAATCCTGAATTTCCACTTTTCTCTGATATTCAAGTCTAAAATTATACTAAAACAATTATTCCCCTCAGGCTCAGGGATTATGGGGAATATTTACCTCGCCGCTCGAAAACTCGCGGCTCAGTTAACATTCCACCGATAATCACTTCGCCTTTGGCGAATAATTGTTAATTGTAACATGAAAACATTCTGCATGCAAATGAGTGATCCAACTTTTTTTACATACCTGGATCCTTGTATTGGTGTCGTCAAGAACCGTAGCCTGGTGCGCCCCATCCATACTGTACGTAACCTTGTATAACCTGACAAAAGCGTTCTGGTTAAGGTTACCCTGGATGGACAACATAGAAATCTTCAATAGGCGGCGCAGATCAATCTGGACCCACTGTTTATGGTTTGTGTATCGTGACATCCATCCTCCTGAGCCACCGAGTCTTGCTTTGTATGCAGCGAAGTTTTTGTTGTGTTGAGTGGAGGAAGAGATCTGGTTGTTCTTGATGCGACCGCTTTGTAAGCCGAATGGAGCATTGCAAAGATCTGTAAGACCTGAATAATACAATAAAAGAGTCGAATGTTGTTTTTTAGTGAGAATAGTTTGAAACATTTTAGTTTGAAAGCAGGAGGAGTCAGCCATTTCTTTAAAATCATTATAAAAGATATAATTTGCCAAGAATTATTGTACGCATCATTCTGAGACATGGACATACAATAACTCTAAAGTCCAATGTTTCCTTCAATTGATAGTTGTTCCTGCTAGACGTTCCATATTACTAACTAATCAAGCTTAGTATAATGAAGTCAGCTGAAACTGGAATATTTATCGAATCCGTAAAATGAAGGCAGGACCCAGTTGCACGAAGAGTAGAGAGCGCTATCTTGTGGAAAAATTATTATCAAGTGAATAAATTGACTGAGCAGAATTATCATTTTATCAACTGGATAAAGGATTTATCCAACGGATAGTGGTATCCACTCAGGACCCTGCAACAATTTTCAGCCGGGCTTATTAGCAGCCTAAATAAATAATCGAACAAATTACCTTTTAGGCATCCATACAGCTCAACTCGCATCGAAATATGACTTCGCCATCTCTTGGGATGAACACGAACGCGTTGAGATACAACAGTTTTTTGAAGACGATGGTACACTACGGTGTTGCGATCGGAGTTGGCGCGGAAGATCTTTAAAAGAAGATAACGACACTCAATGACTTTTCTTAAACTGAACACCAATTTGGGCGTCTTATGGCGTTACCCCCATAATCTCTTTTGATTCTTTTTAAAAACGCTGAATTTTAACACCAGGTTTAAAACTGACTGCGGATAGTTTTTTCTTTTATGTAACAAAGACCTTGATTAGTTGTTTTACGCTTGGAAATGTCTTAAAATATTTGGCAATCCAAAAGGAAGATAAATTGCAGATTTTCTAGGCTAATATAAATTACGTGAGTATGATCTTCGTGGCATTACCTTAACTCGTCCTCCCTCTCTATAGACACGGAAGACATGACCATGTGAGTATGACAGTACATAGCTCGTGACCCATTGATTTGCATCACGTCTTCCTTGGGAAGCTATGCCAGTTATGCGACCAACACCAAGCAAATCAATCTGGAGCCACTGTTTTGCATTGTTATGGCGAGCACTCCAAGATCGGATGCTGTTAAGTCTTCCTTGGTAAGGTGCCAAGTGTACGTTGTAGAATGTCGAGGCACGGAACGAACCACGAGGAATACGACCATCTTCGGCTCCCATGGAAGCTTGACAGTTACCTGCAATTTATAACATCCATTTGCTTGGTGAAATGTTTTTACGTAACTGTTGGTACACTAAAAGACTGGCAAATAGAATAGACCCTTTAAGTAGCGACGCATTTTCGTCTCAGCCACTATTGGAAAGAAAACATGTGATTCAAAACCTGCTTTGTCTGCAACAAGCAGCGTTTTCAACGAAAAAAATTGCAAGAATAATCTTTACAAGAAGTCGTTTTTTTTATATGCATTTTTTTTTCAAACCGAAAAGCTGTATTCTGATTGGAGGAGCAACATGCCATTTTCTTATACTTTTCAAAATTACTTACTGATTTGACATCCGTAAAGCTCAGCTCTCATGGAAATGTATGAATACCATGAATGAGGGGCGATTCGGAAGACTCTTCCTATGACTGATGGGAACAACCTGTTGGCCTGGACGGTATTTCTGTCTTTATTTCCTGTAAAGTACTACAAAACAAAACCAAGATCTATAGAACATCTGGCTTAAGAATGAATGAGTCGCATACTAAGCATCAATATTTTAAAACCGCTTTTAGCAACATGCAGGGAACGTCATCGCAACAAAATAAGTGTTAATGGATGACAATTAGAATCGTTTCAGAAAATATTCCGGCAATTTATACAGCTAAGTGGCTATGAAATGTCATGTAAACGTCTTGCTTGCCGTTATTGAAAAGCTAAGGGACGCACAGGTAGCGTAGCGGCGAAATAAAATAATTTGTCGCAAAGGCAATTTGTACGATTCCTCGATTGAATGATTGTGAAAAAGCTAGATATTCTCAAAAAAACATTCGGATTTTATTGTCTTACTGAAAGATTTAAATTGACATTATCTTAGATATTTCCGACAGATAAATAGTGTAAACCTTACCTTAATGTTTCCATTCTTCTTATAGACGGCAAAGTGAGCGCCATCAGTACTGTAGAAGAATCGATAGCTTCGAACCCATTGATTGAAATCCTGTCGTCCCTGGGTGGCGATCTTTACAATTCTCATGAGTTTAGGGAATGAAATCTGGAGCCATTGGTAATGGTTGCTGATTTTTGCAGACCATGCACCGATGTATCTGCCTGCACGCCTTGCGTGGAGTCGACCACGTGATGCGCCATGGTAACGGTTGTATTCTGAGGAGGCTGTGATCATTCGGCTTGGTAATCCACGTTGCATTCCTAGGGCTTTGTTGCAGCGAGGGCCTGGAAATCACAAGAAAAGTTAATAAGATCTTCAAATCAAAGCCTTAAGAGAATTAGCAAGCAAGTAAGCAAACAAATAGGCAGACAACACTAATGTCACGTGGTATCTTTCTTACCTATCGCACATCCATAGAACTCTACTCTCATGGATACCCACGCATACCAACTGACAGGATGCACACGAACATATCTGGCGGATATTGGTCGAGAGAACTTGTGCTTTACGGTGATATATCGATCATGGTTTCCACGGAAGATCTATGGGGAAAAAAATCATAAGTTAATTTGTTTGAAGTTCTCAAAATTATACTGGAAAAAAATGCATTGTGAAAACCCGGCCTGGGATATGATTGAGCATCCAAATTGAAATGACTAGAATTGCATTGGATAGACAAGTTTCGTTCAATGAGGAATCACGAATATTAAAATTTTAATAAGCAGCGCACAACGTTTTTTTAATTTACTGAAATGATATTTATAATATAATGGTAATTGAACTGAGTGGAGTGCAATTTGTTCTCAAATCAAACGACTGGTTTCACGACCGCTTAGCGTGACCTGTTCAACAAATGGTATGCTTTCTGCAATGTTTTTGGCTCTTCAAAACAGAACGATTTGATTGTTAAATCGCACTGGGAATCGCATTGCTGAGAGCCAATCACATTTCAGGATTGTGAGTGGGTATGAAATAACTGTAATTATGAACGCCGTTATTATATGTATTCGTTTATTTGTCATATTTATGTTTACCTTCACAGATCTACCCTTTCTTATGGGAACAAATCTTGAACCATCTTTGCTATACGTGATATAGTACGACTTCACCCATTGGTTAGCATTACGTCTTCCTTGTGTGGCTATTCCCTTTATTCTACTCAGACCTTCAAAATCGATCTTACAAAGAGAGAAAGACGTCATGTGTAGTAATTCTCAAGGGGGAATTATTTATTTATGTTTTGGAATTATTATCATCATTTATATTTAACCATATTTTTCTCATGCTTCTTCTCTAAGACTTTTTTGAATAATGTAACTAGAATTACATTGAAATAATTTTCACACTCATGTAAGGAAAAACGAGTGAAAGAAAGGAAGAAAGAAAGAAAGGAAGGAAGGAAGGAAGGAAGGAAGGAAGGAAGG